TCCTGCTCCTCTGATGCTGCTTGGCCTGCTGTGTTCATCCAGCTCTATACCTTGTTATGCAGTAGATGGAGGTAGGCATCCCATAGTCAATGGATTAGATCTAAGTTCTGCAGTCCTGGAACAGCAGTGAATGCTGGTGGATAACTAAACACTAAGTGGAGAAGGAGGCTCCACAAACATCCTCAATCCTCAATCTTATCCTCAATCCTCAATCTTATACTCAATGAAGGGATAGCCCAGCACATCAATCCAAACAGCAAAGGTAAAGCATATGCAGCCATCATCGGTCTGAAGTGCCAAGTCTTCAGTCATTCTAATTTGGTCCACATGATACCAAGAAACAGCAAAAGCACTGAATACTGCGAAGGCAATGGGCCCTGAGAATATTCCTGCAATAGTACTGAAAACCTATGCTTCAGAGCTGGTTGCATCCATCACTAAGCTACGATTCAGTGCAGCTACAGTGTGGAAGTATGTGGAAAGTTGTCCAGGTATGACTTGTCCACAAATTGCAGGGCAAAATCCTGGAACTTCCTTCCTAACAACAATGTAGGCACTTCATTACAGTAAAAAAAAGACCAAAAATACAAAATAAATAATTGAAACTTGCGTATCTCGTATACTTTTCTCTATTCTTCAAATGGTCTGCATCGTCCACAGTCATCTGGACTCAACGTTAGCTTGCTTTCTCTCCATGGATACTGCCTGATGTGCTGTGCTTGGCAGAATTTTTGTTTTCAGTTCAGATTCCAGCATCTGTAGTAATTTGCTCCAACCTTATTACAGCGCTGGTCTAAATGATAAGAGAGCTGCACTTGAAGTGATGTGAGAATGATTGACCTGGTTGTGAGGCAGCATTTGACTTGAGTTAGGCATCAAGGAACCCTAGCATAAATGGATCAGTGGGAATCTAGGAAAAATTCCCCACTGACTGGAGTCATACCAATACAACGAAAGATGGTTGTGGTTATTGAAAGTCAGTTATCTCAGTAGCTGGACATCACTGCAAGAGTTCCTCAGGCTGGTGCTCTAGGCATAACCATTTTAAACTGTCGCGCTTGTAACCCTTCTCTCCATTATAAGGTCACGTTTAGAGATATTCACTGATGATTGCACAACGTTCAGTAGTCTATGTGACTCCTCAAATACTGAAGCAGTCCATGTCCTCGTGCAACAAGATTCAGACAACTGTCAGGCTTGGACCAATAAGCAGCAAGTAACATCAATGATGTCACCTGTCAATGGCCATGTCCAGCAAGAGAGATTTAAACATCTACTGTTGACTTTCAGTGGAATTGCTGTCACTGAATTTCTCACTATCAACATCTTGATGGGGTACAGTTGACCATAAATCTAACTGGCCCAGCCATGTAGATACTGTAGCAACAAGTACAGTTTGGAGGCTGGGAATGTTTTAATGACAACTCATTTCTTGACTCCCCAAAGCCTGCACCATCTCAGGCACAGATCCAGTCACCAGATAAACTTTTCACCTCACTGGATGAGTTTGAGATTGATTTATTGTCGTCAAGTGTACCGTGATACAGTGTAAAATGTTGTTTTCCATACTACAGAGGCAGATCGTACCATACAAAGTGCATCAGAGTAGCAGAACAAAGTGCAGAATATAGTGTTACAGCCACAGAGAAGGTGCAGGGAGAGAGATCAAAATTAACACGAGAGGCACATTCAAAAGTCTGATAACACTAGGGATGAAGCTGTTCTTGAATCTGTTTGTGTGTGTATTCAAACCTTTATATCTTCTGCCCAATGGAAGAGGGTGGAAGAGAATATAACCGGGGTAGGAGGAGTCTTTGATTATGTTGGATGCTTTCCCAAGGCAGCAGAAAGTATTGATAGAATCAATGGATGGAAGGCTGGTTTGTGCAGCTCCAAAAATATTCAAGGATGTTGACACCATCAGGACTGACTGGCACCTCAAACACCACTTTCAGCATTCAACACTGATGCACAGCACCAACAGTATATGCCATCTACAGTATGCACTATAGCAACTCACCACTCCTTCAACAATCCTTTCCAAACCTGTGATCTCTATCACCTCGAAGGAGAAGGGCAGGCAGATGCATGGGAACACCATCACCTGGAAACTCCCATTCAAGCCACACACCACCCTAATTTGGAACTACTTCTTTGTTCCTTCACTCTTACTGGGTTAAAATCTCGGAACTTCTTTCCTAACACCAATGTAGGCGTACCTTCAATACATGGGCTGCAACAGCTGAAGAAAGTGGCTCATCATCACTTTGTCAAGAGCAGTTAGGGAATAGGAATAATGCCAGTCTAGCCAACAATGCTCACATCCCAGGACATAATTTTAAAATGATGCCCAATTTTGCCCTATGTCACAGCATTTTCCCCTTAAATGCGAAAAGAAGTGCTGTTCAAGTCCATATCCAATAAACTTATGAAGGCTTTTGGAAAATACAGTTATACCATACTTTAAGATAGTGTCTTCAAGATCTTAACAACCCTCTGGGAGTTTATTTCTCCTCATGTACACTCTAGTTCTTCTGCCAATAGCTTCAATCTATGCCATCCAGTTACTGATTGCCTTGTCCAAGAAAGTAGTTTCTGTTTACTTGGTGTATAAAATCCCTTCATAACTTTTGTGTATCACTATTAGGTTTCACATCAGCTTTCTATGTTCTAAGGATAACAATTCCAGTTTCTCAACAGAACTAAACTACTTCACCTCTGATAATGGCCTGGTAAATCTGCTTGACTTTCTTCTTTTTTGTATTTGATGCTTTAATTTATGCAGCAACATAGTTTCAAGTGTAGGCCATTTAGCCCTTGAGTTTGTTCCATTATGCAGTGAGATCATGGCTAAACTGAAACTTAACTGCTCATATCTGGCTTTAACCCACATTATTTAATATCTGCTGTGGCAGGATTCAAACCTAGGTCCCCAGGACGTTATCTGGGTCTCTGGATTAACAGTCCAGCGATGATAGCGCCAACACCTCCCCAGGTTAGCAGTTATTGATTCCCACAGGCTGACCTTTACCAATTCTTTTGCCCGACTACTGTTCTCTCCCGAAAAAACTGCGGATGCTGTAAATCAGGAGCAAAAACAGAAGTTGCTGGTAAAGCTCAGTAGGTCTGGCAGCATCTGTGAAGAAAAAATCAGAGTTAACGTTTCGGGTCTGGCGACCTTTTCTCAGAACTATGAGTTCTGAGGAAGGGTCACCGGACCTGAAATGTTAACTCTGATTTTATCTTCACAGATGCTGCCAGACTTGCTGAGCTTTTCCAGTAACTTTGGTTTTTGTTACTGTTCTCTTTCTCTGGCCTTCATGTCCATCCATTATTTACTCCTCCCCTTTCTCCTACCCCATCTTCAGCATGTATACCAACTTTTCCTAATTACAACCAGTTCTGAAGAAAGGTCACTGGACCTGAAACGTTAACTCTGCTTTCTCTCCACACATGCTGCCAGACCTGCTGAGTTTTATCAGCAGTTTCTGTTTTTGATTCAGTTCAGCTACTATTCTTTATTAATAATAGGATCATACTATATATATAGCTTTTAATTTTTTTCTTGAAGTTGCATGAAGTCAGAAATCATAGATTTGCTTTTAATACAAAAAATACTTTTGTGTTTTCTGTAATCAATTAAGATAAAATAAATGTATAAAGACGGACAACACTGATGTTAACACATTTGAAAAATGATAAATATTTATCAGGCTTCATAAAACTCAATGTGGTGTCTTCATATGCAAGTTTTGCTCTATAATGTTCATGCACATGTTTTCTGAAATCTTTATGCACTGTTTTGCAGGTGAACTGGGAAAAGCGTGTTCTGAAAAGTTTAAACAGCATGTGTGCAGAGCTGGCTATTCCTTTAGCAAAAAAGGTACAGAAGAATTAGATTGCTTTAGTTTACAATTTATTTAAATACTGAAATGAAAGTTGAAGCCACTGAATAATAGTTTATTCATACCATGTCCTTCCTCTATACAGAGGTCAACAGATGAACAGAAGGAGCTTTTGAACAAGTGGAATGAGATGGGGACTGATGAACCAGGTATACAGCAATAAATATTTGGACGACCTGCAGTATTTAAGGACTTGTAACATAGGGACTGTTTCATCTGACGTTCTGCTATATTCCAAATTGACAAATGTGCTTCCAGATGTTTTATCCATTTCTAGTGAGACTTCTGCTCAATGGATGCATTTTACATGATTTACTTTGGATTTTGATTTTCATTGATTTTTTTCACATTTGTTGCATTTTGGGGAGGCACAGTGGAAAAATGAGTATTCATCTTCAAGTATACATTGAGAACCAGTCTAACATAACTAGCAGTGTAAAATTGTATCTAATGTGGTTCCAATGATTGGTATGAAAAACATAATGATATGGATAAGGAATTTTTTTCAAAGGTTGAGTGTAAGGCACATTTTTTTTATCAGAATGGATGGAGCTTCCTTCTGTATCTAACAATGCTGTATCTGTCCTGTGCTTGATGCTGACACTATGCTCCTGAAATGTAAAATCCTCCATTCAACCAATATCAATACCTTTTGAGAATAAAAACTGACGAAAGTAAAGGAAAGGTGTTTCAGAATTGATTTCACTCAGTGATTAGTACAATATCATTGGAATTGGGACAAACTCAGTACATTTCAAGATGCCACAAGTGTATGTTAAGTTCTTTATGGGTGATACAAATGAAATTGGTTAGTTTTGTTAAGTGCTGCGTGCTGTATGCATATGCAAACAGTATCGAAGTTGCTTTTGGAGCACAGCACACTGTCTTGCGATTCTAAAATAATGGCTATATCAGCAGGAAATATAACTTCAAAACTGCTGGCTAAGTGAATTACTCATACTGCATTCTCATTTAAAGGAATGTTCTGATATTTTAATTTTCCTCAATTAATTGATTTGCTGTGACCAGACATTATAAGTGGCTGCTGTTTTCTTTGTCTGCTACATATTGAAATACTGGATCAAAATTCTTGGGCATCATATTTTTCTAGATTTGAGCCAGTTCCGACCAGTATATGCCCCGAAAGATTTTCTAGAGGTAAGCTTTCCTGTCTGATTTGACTGTTATCTTCAATTTAAAAAATCACAATTGTGGACTGGGTTGTTACTTTGAGTGTGATATCTTTAATTTCCACATCATAGCTTTTTTGATGTTTTATCTAAAATCTTAGCAAATAACATAGGCATGAAACACCGAAAGTAAGCAAACCTTGTTATCAGGATTGCAATTTTGTTATTTGCTTTTCGATATACCACTGTTAAAATTGTTAGCCAACTGTCGTGATGAATATGTAGAAGAAAATGCATGTAATACTCTTATGCTGAAAATCTGCAACACTCCTAACGCAGTCCAGAAAGAGTGCAATTACAATGGTTGGAAATTTGCCAGTTTTCATGAGATTTGGTTTGATGGTACAACTGTACACTCTGCACATGCAGTGCTATTGCCTCTGACAACATGACCATGAGATCACAGGTATGGACCAAACAAAAATTAAAGAACACACTTTGCTATTATCATGCCCTCTCGCTTGGTACTTCCTCATGCTGCTTTTGTCCATCCCTCATGTAACGTAAAGCCAAAGTGAGCAGTGGAGAAGCTGAGAGCAGGAGGTTTCGGAGAGTGGAAGGCGAATGTTGGATATACATTAGTGATAAGCAGTGGGAGAAATGATGCCTGTGCTGATGGACTGACTGGTACTAAGTTCCTGATCCTGTTTTTGTTTGGCAACAGGAGCTGCAATGATCCAAATGTGTTTTGCCCATCCAATTGAGAATGACTGACTATGGGGAGGAGGAGGTTCTAAGTGTGGAAGTTTCCCTATTCTCTGCCCTCCTGGATTGATATCACTGAGTGACAGGAAGTTTTCTGAAGAATTACAAGTGCATTACTCCACTCATCTGGGATCTGGCTGAGACAATGGCCTGGATGCTGACATAAATTTTTATCCAGCATTGGCCTCGATTTTGCAGTGCTTATCACTGATCTCAAAGAAATTTGCTGATAAAGTTCTAGTGATCTCTGTGATGCTCTCCATGCTTTGGACGCTTTGACCAGTTGATATATTAAAAGCAGTTTATTCAAGTGCTCTTGTTGTTGAGATGGACAAAGGGACGCAGAATTTGGTTTGTGCTTCAACTCAATTTTATTAACAAAATACTCTGTCTTAAAAACACTATGTGAGCATTTTCCAAAATCCCACAATATTTACTTTCTATCTATCTCTGTCCATCTCTGAGAAAGGCTATTACCCACAACAATCCATGAATTTGAGCTAGGCCATTGGAATCTCCTTCCTCTCCGATGTAGAGCTGGCTTTCTTCCACAAAAGTGGGTCTTGCAGGTCAGGGCGGATCTTCTGCTGGATTTTCTTGGGTAGCTGGACGGTTTTCTGTCATGGGTCTTGCTTTGAATCTTCCCTGCAAAGTCTGCACTGTCGGGGTGATTCCCAGTTATGTGCTTTTATGACCCCCTCAACCCAGATCTTCCAGAATGTTTTGTGACCTTTGGCTAACGGGTCATGAGCTGGGTTAAAATCATCCAATGGAGTTATGCTAGCACCCTTCGATGTTGCCACGCTGGGAGGTGTAAAGTGCACATGCTCAAGCACTCAAGATGTCAGACTGTCTGATTGACACTTCTCTAACATACAATCCTCGGGTTGGTTGTAACTGGTTCCTGCTGTATCTTCGTAACTTCCTTCTCTTACTTTCTGCTTTTCTCTGTAACCAATAGCTGCTGGCTGCTGTTCAATGTAATTTGGCCAAATTTCTGTCAGGCCTGCTTTCTCTGGCTATGAGTCAATTTAGAATGTCTAATGTTGGGCCTCTGATAGCTTGACCACAGTCCCTTTTGTTAATCCTTTGAATCTTCTAGCAAAAATGCGATCACAGGCTCAGACCACATTCTTGTGTAAGAACGTACCAAGTCTCAGATGGACAACGTAACTCTCTGAGTATCTGTGTTCCCATTGTACATAGTTAGTAAGTAGGATATTATTATCTATCTTCCTTATGCACATCAGTAAGCTTAACAGCACTATAATCAAATAAATTAACACATAAATTGAGAATAAGCCACTATTTGCATACATTGGCTTACCCTCAAGCCTCTGATGATAGCAGCAACCTGTTGAGTAAAAGTCTTATTGCACAGCAATTCAAATAGTCCTTTCGTGACGTAATTCAGGTTCGTTAATTTCTTAGTTCCTGCTGTAGTTTCCGTATGAGTTCCTTTCTCCAGTGGGTGAATTTGACCGTGAGTATGGTGAGGTAGATCAAAGTAGACAGGATGAACAACATAGCCACATGTAATAGGAGGCGTACCCATGGGTGTATCTGCTCATTTGAGCCTCAGTCCCAGAAGTCATCAAAATTAGTCATTTTGATTTCCTTGATACCGTTTTGAATTTGCTCTGTCTGCTGAATGACAGTGACAAAAGCTTTATGTGCATTTGCCAATTTGTGTCTGGATCTGCTGTAATTTTTTAGTGGAATTTAAGTGCCAGTGTTGTACATCTCCCAATAACCCCTAAAGTTTGTCTAAAGTTGTCACTGACATTGACAAAGATCTCACTGCTCCTGTGGATGTCTTTGAGCTCGATTAGGCCTACTGTGGCTGGTGTGTGTAGGCTAATACAAAAGGTGGTGTTTTGCATGTTACATGTGAAGGTCCCATACTGGTAGTGCTTTAGAGATGTTGTGATACAGTGTTCTCCATTCCCCCTTTTAGCTCCAAAAACAGAAGTTGCTAGAAAAGCTTAGCAAGTCTGGCAGTGTCTGTGAAGTAAATATCAGAGTTAATATTTCGGGTCTGGTGACCCTTCTTCAGTCTGGGGCATGGATAGTATCTCCCATACTATATTTAAGTTGTTGCTGTGAGCGTGTACCAGATCCTCGATCTCGGTTTGGCTCACACAGTGACAACATCTATTTGTTCCGGAATGGGGGCTGCCGTGGTTCTCCTCTGCGGACACCCGAATGTGAATTCATCTGCCCTTGTGTTCTCAGTTGGGGAAGTTTGATGGTGGGCTCTAACCTTAATGATGCCTTATTTGTGATCTTAGGCAGTTTGGAGAATAAATTTGAACAAGGGTACAGATTGTAATGGTTTTCTGTCTGCTGAGATAAATCCACTAGCTTCCCACAGTGGCAGGAAGTCAGTTAAGCTGTTGCAGACATACATGCTGTCTGAGTGTATGTCTGTTGATGAGGGAAATTTCTCACTGTGGCTGACCATGTAGGCTACAGTTGCTAGCTTGGCAGCATGAGTGCTCATTCTATTGGGGAGCTTTAGTGCTGACTGTATTAGGGGTTCACCTCAGTGGTTCTCCACCATATCATGTCTTTTGGTGTCTAACCTGTACTGGAGAGGACCTGTCTACGAATATTCTTATCGTGGGGGAGAGGTCTCTCTTCTGCGCCCCAGGTTGCCTTGGGTTCTCCTGAGTTTTTGTTTTGAATGTTTTGAAATACTTCAATGTGGCATGGGAGTTTAAGCAATGGTATTATTGACATCAATTTATGGATTTCCTTAATGATGTTTTAATTCCTGAAGTCAGTTTCAGAGGATCAATAACAATGAGTGCTGACAGTTTCACAACTATTAGTACAACAAATTCCAGACCAATATATTTTCTGTTCTCCCCTCAGCTCTGAATTGAGGGGCACACCCACCAGTAGTATTAAAAGGAGTTGTACAATTCTGAACCATAGTGGAATCATGATCTGTGATAACTGGAAAGTGCAACATGAGAGCCCTACACATTTGTACTACTATATTTGCATACAGTTCCAGGAGAATTCCTCGAAAATACAATGTGATATTTCTGTGTCTCCAGACAAACTTTGTTTTATTTAAATATGCTATTGCTCAATGACTCCACAGTCAAGCTTCAGGTGATAGAATGGTGTGAATTTGGGGTAAAATAATTTAAAAAGTAGTTTGTTCAGGTTCTCTCAAGAAAGTAATGCAGTTAATTGTTTTTGTGATTACTTTTGTGAAAAAGTTATTTTGCAATGTCCAGATAGATATGCATTCCTTTGTATTAATAAATAATTTCCTGAATTTAATAAACTGAATCAACTTTTCTGTACATCATTGGTGGATAAGCTGTTGGAGGGGATTCTGAGAGATAGGATCTACAGGTATTTGGAGAGGCAAGGACTCATTTGTGATAGTCAGCATGGCTTTATGCCTGAGAAATCGTGTCTTGTGAATTTGATTGAGTTTTTTGAAGGGGTGACTGATTGATTGATTGATTTATGTGTTGTCATGTATACCAAAATACAGTGAAAAGCTTTGTTTATGAGGTAGGTCATAGTAAGCAAAGGATGTACAGATCAAAAAGACATAGACAGAGTCATGCAGGTTACATTGTACAGGGCGTGCACTAGGCAAGATCAATGTTAGCAAGATCAGCATTATTTGAACCTAGAATGTCCATTCATCAGTCTGATAATGGCCGGGAAGAAGTTGTTCCTAAACCTGCTCGTGCGTGTGTTCAGGCTCCTGTATTTTCTGCCAGACGGAAGAGGTTGTAGGAGATCATTACCAGGGTGTGATGTGTCTTTGATGATGTTGGCAGCCTTTCCACAGCAGTGAGCCATGTAAATGGAGTCCATAAATGGAAGGTTGCCTTCTGTGATGGTCTGAGCTGTGCACTCAACCTTCCGTAGTTTCTTACAGTCCTGGGCAGAGCAGTTGCCATACCAGGCCATATGCACCCGTATGCTTTCAATGGTGCATCTGTAGAAGTTGTTGAGGGACGTTATGGACATGCCAAATGTCCTGAGCTGCCTAAGGAAAAAGAGGCATTGTTGTGCCTTCTTGACTGTTGCATCTATGTGGGAAGTCCAGGACAGTTTGTCAGTTATTGTCACTCCAAGGAACTCCCGCTCAACCTCAGTTCAGTTGATGTAGATGGAGGTGTGTTCGCCTTCTTTCTTTCTGAACTCAATGATCAGTTCTTTAGTTTGCTGATGTTGAGACACAGAATGTTTGCATTGCACCATGTCACCAAGCCTTCTATCTCCCTTCTGTAGTTTGACTCGTCATTGTTAGATATCCATCCGGTGATGTTGGCAGTGAACTTGTAGATGACGTTCATTCGGAATTTGGCAACACAGTCATAGGTATAAAGGGAGTACAGTAAGGGGCGGAGGACACATCTTTGGAAGGCTCCAGTATTGAGTGTTAGTGTGGAGGAGGTGCAGTTACCTATCCTCACTGATTGCAGGCTGTGGGTCAGAAAGCTGAGGATCCAGTTGCAGAGGGCTGAGCCGAGGCCAAGGTCATGCATTTTTGAGATCTGTCTGGAGGAGATAATGGCTTTGAAGGCGGAGCTGTAATCAACGAGCAAGAGTCTGATGTAGGTGTCTTTGATGTCCAGGTGTTCCAAGGATGAGTACAGGGATAGGAATATGGCATCCTCTGTGGACCTGTCACATTGGTAGGCAAATTGTAGGAGTTTGTGGGCAGGCTAGGAGACTGGAGTTGATATGGGCCATGACCAGCCTCGTGAAGTTCTTCATTGATTATTGAGGTCAGAGCTACTGGGTGATAGTCATTAAGGCACATTGCATGTGCTTTCTGAGGTACGGGAATGATGGTGGCCTTCTTGAAGCAGGTAGGGACTTCGGCTTGTAGGAGGGAGAGATTGAAGATATCGGTGAATACCTCGCCAGTTGGTCTGCACAGGATCTAAGTGCTCGGCCGGGGACACCGTCTGGGCCTGTCGCTTTCCTTCGGTTGATTCCCAGGAAGACCGATCTGACGTTTGAAGTGGTGATGGGGGGATCAGGTGTGTCTAGGGTTGTTGGGCCAGGCATGACAACGCCACTGGCATTCTGTTCAAACTGAGCATAGAAAGCATTAAGCGCGTCAGGGAAGGATGTGTCTTCGTCCACTATCTTGCACTGTACTCTGGGACTTCAATGCACTGAATATAGGGTCACGTCTCAGTCTCCTGCGCTCCAGTGAAATAAGCCCAGCCTATCCAACCTTTCCTTATAATTCACACCGTCCAGTCCAGGTAGCATCATAGTAAATCTTTTCTGCATTCTTTCTAGTTTAATAACATCCTTTCTATACTAGGGGAACCAGAACCACACACAGTACTCCATATACTAGGGGAACCAGAACCACATACCGTACTCCAAATGTAGCATCCCCAACATCTTGTACAACTGCAATAAGAGAGATATTATTTGTAAAGCTGTGATTTTATCTGTTATTCATTTTGTTCTTTCAGGTGCTAATTAATCTTCGTAATCCAAATTATGATGGTGGTGATCCAACTGGTCTGCGCAGTAGCTGGGGCTTAATCAGTATTCCTTTGCCAGTAAAAGACCTTCCCGAGCTGGTAGGTAAGATTTTACCTAGAAGGCAAGCATTCTGCTGAGCAAATCAGCAACTTGTCTTTGTTAGTATGAAATTAAATTGAAAAATATTTTTCTGGCAATTTTCTTCCACCAAGCCACTGTGCAAACTGTTAGAAGCAGAAGTTACCATTATGCTAAGAAATATTGCAATAAGCCTTCTTTTTTAATCTCATCCCTCCTTCACACCTTGCCCACAAATTTGCAGCATTTATGAAGACTATTTCTTCAGTTCAGTGTATACTGTTCCAATAGCAATGTAAATTCTATTATCATGTATTTAGAAAAAAAACAATGAAACCAGAGGCAGTGTACCCTAATGTCACATATATATTGTGGATGGTAAGATAGGAAATAACAGGCACTTTGTTCAATTTTATGAACATCATTGATTTTGAAATTTGCACATGAAGACTAGCAGGTTGCCAATGTAATGCCTCCTCAAAATGGGATAAACCAGCTAACCATTTTATCAAAATACTAGCTGAGTTATTTAAGTAAGAAGTAATTTATTGACAAAGTAAATTCTGTGGATGTTTTGTATATGCATTTTAAGCATTTGACAATGTGCTCCACAGAAGGCTCATTGCTAATCTAAAATAAATGATAGTAAAGAGACTGACATAACATGAATAGGATCTGGTTAAAGGGCTACAAACAGAGTAGTGGTAAATAAATATTGTTTTGACATGATGCGATGTAAACAGTCGTTATTCCTGGGTCAGCGTTTGAGTCATTGCTCTTAATGAATTAAAAGAATACATGACATAATATTTGCTATAGGAACACCATTATATTTTGCAGATAACACAAAGATGGGGAGAAAGATTAACTGTGACTTCAGGGAGACATAGGCTGGCAGTTTTGTAAATGGCCTTAAAACCAGTTTTACTTGCAGATTTTAAAAGCCAAACGTGAGACATTCTATTTCTTTCTGCTAATAAAATCGCAGCAATCTGGGCTGAATTGACAAAACCATAAAAAGGTGGACTTTCAAACAGATTTGTGTTAAAGTGGAAACACTTCTAAGTTTTCTGTTGATCTTTCAACCTGAATGAAGATTTGGTTCACCTGGAGGAAGCCTCCCTCACAAAACTGGTTTTGGTCCTGCAGGCTGAAATTGCAAGATTGTGAGAGAAGATGCTTTATATTGTGTACCTTTCTTAGGTTTAGAGGCACTAGGTATAATGTTGTAAAACTTTGTCATTAAAAGAATATTTTCTTTACTAAGAAGTGTAAACTCTACAAATGTAAACCATGAAACTATTAAATAGTTCCTTTTTTTGAAACGTTATTTTCAATGACTTTAAATCAGACTATTCACAGGTAGAAGATTAGTCAGTAAAATGCTAATTTTTTTCCTGATTAAATCTATTTTCCACTGTATTTATGAAATTGTACTAAATTTAGTATTTAATATTATAAAAAATGGAAAAAGTGCCAATTGTACTTGGAGAAGGTCTTGCATTTGATATTATGGAAATGTATAATGCTGGAAACTTAAAAGTACAATTTTGAACACTGTTCCCACAATTTCCTGAAACTCTACCACTGGAATTTTTAAATTTGGTTTTCATTTATTCTTGCCATGAGCAAAATGAGCAAATTTTATGATCATGAACTATTGTTAAGCTAGAAAATGTTTCCTGATTTTCCTTTTAAGCTTGAAATAGCAATTTTAGATCTTGCCATCGAGCAGTTTACTTTATTAACATGTATTTGTATCTCATTATTAGTTCAATTCGCCTTACTTCTATGCTACTTCCAGTCCTCCTCTGCTTCCCTGAAAAACAAGATGCAACAAATTCTTGACATGAAAGCCAAAGCACATACCTGGTGGCTGCAGCTCGCTGCTTGCTTTTCTTGGCCTTCATCCAACCCTGTCTTCAACACAGTGTCCCTGCATGCTCCATGGCCAACATCCTCCTCAGCCCTTTGTCCACACAAGTCAACAAGGGCAAACTACTTGCCTCACTACATCATTACGCTGAACTCAGTCCAATAGTCATGCAACTTCAGTTCTTTAACACTTGACTTTGGAGCTCAGGGACATCTACGACCTGCATGCTTGTGCCAGGTAGCTTTGCGTGCAGGCACGTACATACATCTCATGCATTTAAACAGGATGCATGTTAAGGCCAGAATTAATTTTCTTAATGCTCATTCACTTTGTGCTTATTTGGGACTGCCAGCCTCTCTGGCTTGCATTGAATTTTAATGTATTAACTCTTCAGTGCTCAGCTGCGACATCCAGCTCTGTTGCTTGCATTGCTTTCACAGGCTCTTGGGTGAAAAGTTCTGGGCTGCCAACCTCTGTGGCTCGCATTGCTCTTTAGCACAAAGGGAGAAGCAGGCAGCTTGTGGGGAAAATTGATCAGTTAAGGGGCTGGTCATGTTACAGTATGCCATTGGGTTATGCTAATGTCACACTGTGGCATATGTCTGCAGCTTTAGCCGTAGACACACTGCATCTGCTTCAAGCAATGGCCATCTCTGAAAATCAAAGGGAAACAGTCCTTATTGCAAGGGGTCTACAGTCATGGAGTTTTGCATCCCCCTAAATTTTTTTCTGTTGTGCAATCCTCCAAGGTCTGGGCATGGCAGCACCTTCCGGAACCGGATGTAAATGCTTTGGCACGCTGATGATCACACAGCTCCACAGCTAAGGGAAATGCTATTAGGTAGTAAAGTCACACACAGTCAAGGGGCTGGTCCAGTTACAGTCCAGGGAGTTGGCCATGGTGAATCAACCTTGATGTCATAGTGGAGCACAGGACCAATGGGACTTCCTAACAAAGGTACACAGGAAAGCCACACACACTGACCAAGTACTGAATTTCAACAGCAACCACTCTAACACCCACAAACGAAGTTGTGTGAAAACTCTATTTAACCGGGCAACAACACATTGCAGCAATGCAGAACTACGCCACAAAGAAGAAGACTACCTCCTCTAAGTATTCAAGGACAACGGATACCCGAAAAACTGGGTCAGAAGATGCCTATTACATGAACAACACCAGGAAGATACGGCACGCCCTGACACACTCATCACGCTACCTTACATCAAGAACACATCTGAACTGACCACAAGATTTCTACGACCACTGGGCATCAGAGTAACACACATACCCACATCAACCCTACACCAACCCCAAACCAAAGACCCGTTACCCACAATGGACAGGACCAATGTAATATACAAGATCCCCTGCAAAGACTGCAACAAACATTATATTGGATAGACAGGAAGAAAATTAGCTACAAGAGTACACGAATATCAACTAGCAACAAAAAGACTCGAACAAAAGTCACTCATCTCCATCCACTTGGATAAGGAAAACCACCAGTTTGATTGGGACAACACCAGGATTCTGGGACAGGCCAAGCAGAGACAAGCAGGGGAATTCCTAGAGGCGTGGTTCTGCACTAAGAAGTCCATCAACAAACACATAGAACTAGACCCTAAATATACTCCACTGCAAAGGAAAACTAGAAGTGAGGTGACCTAGCTCAACAGACACCAGAGTTTAAATAACAGGCGGGAAAACACAACAGCGCTTCATCGGAGGCGGCGCTGATGATGTTACCCAGCAGGATAATGAAATGTCTGCAGAACAATGAACCAGCTCAGCGAGCCAACCAACCACAACATCCACAACCCGAGCTACAAATCTACTCAAAAACCTTAGAATCAGGAACAAAAACAAAGTTGCTGGAAAAGTTCAGCAGGTCTGGCAGCATCTGTGAAGGAAAAAAACAGAGTTAATGTTTCGAGTCCGGTGACCCTTCCTCAGAATTCCAGTTGTGAGGAAGGGTCACTGGACCCAAAACGTTAACTCTGTTTTTTACTTCACAGATGCTGCTAGACCTGCTGAGCTTTTCCAGCAACTTTGTTTTTGTACCTTAGTGTCAGGCACTTCGTCCTACTAAAGTCTGGAGATTTGGCCACAGTCAGTTTGTTGTTGCGAATCCAGTGCAATGAGTCTGAGGAGTACAGGTAGATCGTCAGGATGCCCTGCTGGTGCATCCTCAGAAGTAATACTGAGGGTCTTTGGCACAGCTACCTCCATGGCTGAAGTTTGCTGAGTGCCACGGGTATCTGTATAAAAGAAAAGGAATTAGTTGTCTAAGAAAAAAACGGCTTGTGCATGTTTTTTTTATTCATTCATGGGATGAAAGCATCACTGGCTAGGCCAGTATTTATTGCCCATCCCTAATTGCCTAGAGGGCAGTTATGAGTCAACCACATTGCTATGGGTCTGGAGTCACACATTGGCTAGACCAGGCAAAGATGGCAGTTTCCTTCTGTAAAGGACATTAGTGACCCAGATGGGTTTTCTCCCTGACAATCAGCAATGGATTCATGGTTATCATTAGATTCTTAATTCCAGATATTTATTGAATTCAAATTCCACCATCTGCTGTGGTGGGATTTGAACCCAGATCCCCAGAACATCAGCTGGGTTGCTGGATTAACAGCCAGCGATAATACCACTAGGCCATTGCCTCCCCTCCTACATTTAGGATGAGTTAGAGCTGGAGGTAGTGGGACAGCAGCGCAGCCTGATACGCTGGGTTTGGGTGGCTGTTGATGTTGAACCATCCTCATAGTCTTGCACTTCTTTGGCAAAATTCAGCAGTTTCTCCTTGACCAGAGGGAGAAAGCTTCTATTCATAACAACCTTTACCAGTCTTGATTCTCTTGGGCAGTTTTTGTGAAGTGCAGCAAGTGAATGCAAGAAGGTTCAGTTGTTTCATAGCTTGAGGTGAGTGAGAGCTATTCAATGGACGTGATACATGCAATGGTGAGAATTGCAGATTTGGGCCATGTCTTCACTGACAGTGTTCAGGCACCTCATTGTGAGGGGCAGTTCCTGTCTTGCAGTGTCTGATGTGGTATGCAGCTGGACTTTAAATATCAGAGGCATGAAGGCCACAAGTTCCCAGCACTAGTGAGCACCTCTGCCTCTCCTGTTGAAGGGCACTGAAGAGCCGATTACATAATTAATGAGGTGAAGAGTGGAAGATTGTGTGAGAAAAGTTGCCATAGCGTACTAAGCATCATGAATCTCTCTTGACAAAATACTCTAACTGTAAATGAGAACATTGCTTCCATGGTCCTTATATTCTGAAGTGCAAATTTATTTTACCAATCTGAAAAGTTATTGTAAAAATTTACATTTAGTTATAAGAATGATTTGTTGAGATCATTGCATGTGGTGTCAGATCTGTTTCTAACAAAGCTTTTGTAATTACAAAAACTCATCAACATGTATTTTGAAATGGATATAATCTCCATGCATCTCTTGAGTTGTTTTGTTGAGAGAAAACAATGCTGTTTTTGGGGAATCTTTATTTTGCCAAATCACCACTCCAAAACATTCTGGAATTTGCTATTGAAAATCCCAAGATACCAATTATAACACTAATAATTTTGAGAATGACGTAGGGAACGTTGATGCAGTGAATGAATTGCAGAATGACTTAGACTTAGAACTGGGCAGGCAGATGGCAAAATAATTTAATTTTAGCAAATGAAATTGAATACTGACTAATAAAGTATTTGTGTGAAAAAAAATTAATGGCATAACTACAGTGAAGTGAGTAGAATTAGTAAAGGGGCATTTAAAAATGGACCTGATACTAAGCAAAAGTGAAGAAAAGTCTTGAAAGGAAGTCGCAGAGTGGAAGAGGGGAATTCCTCACAATAAATCCTATTTAATTAAAGTAAATTCACTTTGATTTTTGTTTTGTTGCTTCTAGATTTACATCAGAATTGAGTAATTGTATTTAATGCCTTTTCTTGCTTGTCAAGTACATGTCTTTATTATTCAGCTTTTTTTTGTTATTAACATTGAGTTTGTTTGAATCGGTTCAATAAGTGTTTCTGGGTTTTGCTTTGATAATGCCTTCCTTCACTCCATCACTTGTGTACATCCTGATTATCTTGGTATTGAGCGCACCATTTCTTGGCAACCTGCTGTAAGAGCTTGCCCAGTGTTGAATTCGCTATAGAATGGCATGCAAGACCACCATGAGCTAACTTAAATCCTAATCTTCCAATTATTTCTCTCTAAACTGGCTTTTATTTCTTGTTTTGGTATGCATGAGGTCAAGGAATTTGCTATTCAAGAATTCTGGATCAGATCTGTGTCCCAACATTCCATGGTGTAGTATGGAATGTAGGAACATTGCAGTGCCTTAAATTTGCTTCATGTTAACCGGTTGGCTAGACAGCTGGTTTGTAATGTAGAAAAATGTTAATAATATGAGGCTAATAACTTTATTTGGGGTTAGTTAGCTCAGTTGGCTGGATGGCTGGTTTGCAATACAGAATGACATCAACAGCACAGGTTCAATTCCTGGGCTGAATTTACCATGAAGGGCTCACCTTCTCAACCACATTCCTCACCTGAGGCATTGCTGACCCTCAGTTTAAACCAACGCAAGTCATCTGTCAAATAAGAAATAAGCTGTCTGGGACTATAATAATTAAACTTTTTTTTAGTTTAGAGTGGCATCATGGTTGGCGCAGACATGGTGGGCTGAAGGGCTTGTTCCTTTGAGCTCTTCTATGTTCTATGTTCTTTCTAATGAAAGAGCAGCCTATGGTCCTCTATCTACGGTGACTTACACAACAGTATTATTGTCATAGAGTTTTTTATAGTCACAAAATCTTCAGTGCATACAAATTTGTTGATTACGTTTTCCCTTTTTATTCTGCAAAGAGGGATCTGTTTGCTGAGCTAGCTTTAAACTATGAACAACTTGGAATTGATGACTCGATGCAGATCCCTACAGGTAAATTCTTTTAATTGTTTAATGTTTTTAGAGCATTAGGAATTCCTCATGTTGAATTTTTTTCCCAAAAGAAATTATAGATTGAATAATTAACTAATCATTTAAACCACCGATTAGCCCTTATTTCATCCCCTTTAATACACATTCTATGGTTACGATCATTGAACATCTTTGTTTGCATTGTCAAGATTGGGAACTAATTTTGTGAGGTACAAAGCCATGTCATAATAGTTTGAATTAGTATGTGTAGCACCAATTTATGACACCATTGCATAAACAGAAAACTACATTTTAATTAGTGTGGTATTTTACAGGGTTTTCACGTGTGTTGCCAAATGATTTCTTTCTCCTTCCCATCTATGTTAAGGGAGTAAATTTCTAGATTGAGGCCACTTGTTTAAAGTCTCACAAGATGATGCTACAACCCTGATTATATATTTTAGCACTCAATGCTGTGTGCAAAACTTAAGTGCTTTTAACTATTTAATTTATCATGTTAAAGTTTATAGTATTCTAGAGTTTTGCGTAGTGCAGAAGCAAGTTTTTTTTACCTAGACTAGGGCTAAAGATCTTGTCATTTTCTAAAAAATATATCTGTAATATTTGCATCAGTGGAACATTATTTAGGGTAAATGCAACCTAATCTATCACAAAATTTAAAATAAAACTTTTATTTCAAAAATGCAAATGCTGCATTTTCCTCACAGTAATAATTCTTCTAGAAATGGAAGCATGAAGTAAATGATAAGTTTATATAAAACACTTGTTCAAGCACAATTAGAGTGCGCATTTTGTGATTCACCATTTCATAGAAAACAGAATAGCCATAACTATGGTGTGTTCAGAATTGACTCATTAAGGTAATGACAGGAGTGGAAAGCACTAGTTATGAGGATGATTCTCGAACTCAAGATTGGACATGGATGAGATGCTATTTTCTGCTCAGATCCACTGTCAGTGCATAGACTGATGAGTGTCTGGAAAAAGTTGAAACTGTTAGTTTGAGGCAAACGCGAAGCCAATTTCTTTGGGAACTAGGCTGACTGATCCTTTAAGCCCCTCACCATCAGGCCAGATTACCGGAAGGTGATAAAATTATGGAATGGAGGGGCTGGGATGTGCGCTATAAATCGGGAAAAGCATATTGTCAAAGTGAGGCACTAACAGGGCTTTGGGAGCACTGCTGCCTCTCTATTGAGGATAAAAACCTGGTCATCAGGTGTGAGGTACTCACTGTGTAGCTGTGTGGTGCAGATCTGGCCCATTCCCTGAGCCCATGCCACTGCAGTCACCTGATCCATCTTCCACTTCATCCAGAGGTCTAAGATGGACCGTGTCTGCAGCGACACCATATACAAGACTTTGGATAAGGGAGCGGAGGAAGACATACCCAACTCTGCCTCATCCTGATGGCCATCTTTGTGTGTGGTTGCATAAAGCTGTGCGAAGACCCTCAGTATGCAAACATCAAGTGTCACTATGTACTGAGGTTCTACCTGTACCCAACTTTGCAAAGGATGGTCCTTACTTTGCTGCTGTGGAATGATTCAAGTAGTTGGACCGTTCCGTATCACCTATTCCTCGTGGAAAAATTTGCGAAGAAAAACATCTTTGACCATAAGTGAATCAGGCAGTGGTCAGCACATAATGTCCTCAAGACCCTGTGGGAAAAGTAGAGGGTTGATCCTGTCGGATGGTTCCGGAGCAGACTGTCAAAGTCATTTGGAGGAGCTCGAACAGTTCATACACTTCACTAACACCTTCCACCCCAACCTTAAGTTTACCTGGACCATCTCTAACACCTCTCTCCCCTTCCTGGACCTCTCTGTCTCCATATCGGGCAACCACCTAGAAACCGATATTCATTTCAAGCCCACCGACTCCCACAGCTACCTAGAATACTCCTCCTCCCACCCACCTTCCTGCAAAAATGCTATCCCCTATTCCCAATTCCTTCGCCTCCGCCGCATCTGCTCCCAGGATGAGGCATTCCACTCCCGTACATCTCAGTTGTCCTCTTTTTTCAAGGACAGTAACTTCCCCTCCTTGGTGGTCGAGAACGCCCTCAACCGTGTCTCCCACATCTCCCGCACCTCATCCCTCACACCCCGTCCACGCAATAAAAACCAAAAAAGAATCCCCCTCGTCCTCACGTACCACCCCACCAACCTCCGGATCCAACGCATCATCCTCCGACACTTCCGCCATCTGCAATCCGACCCCACCACCAAAGACATCTTTCCCTCCCCACCTTTATCTGCTTTCCGGAGGGACAACTCTCTCCGTGACTCCCTTGTCCGCTCCACACTCCCCTCCAGCTCCACCACACCCGGCACTTTTCCCTGCAACCGCAGGAAGTGCTACACCTGCCCCCACACCTCCTCCCTCACCCCCATCCCAGGCCCCAAGAAGACTTTCCACATCAAGCAGACGTTCACCTGCACATCTGCCAATGTGGTATACTGCATCCGCTGTACCCGGTGTGGCTTCCTCTACATCGGGGAAACCAAGCGGAGACTCGGGGACCGCTTTGCAGAACACCTACGCTCGGTTCGCAACAAACAACTGCACCTCCCAGTCGCGAACCATTTCAACTCCCCCTCCCATTCCTCAGACGACATGTCCATCCTGGGCCTCCTGCAGTGCCACAACGATGCCACCCGAAGGTTGCAGGAACAGCAACTCATATTCCGCTTGGGAACCCTGCAGCCCAATGGTATCAATGTGGATTTCACAAGTTTCAAAATCTCCCCTCCCCCCACCGCATCCCAAAACCAGTCCAGCTCGTCCCTGCCTCCCTAACCTGTTCTTCCTCCCACCTATCACCTCCTCCCACCTCAAGCCGCACCTCCATCTCCTACCGACCAACCTCATCCCGCCCCCTTGACCTGTCCGTCCTCCCAGGACTGACCTATCCCCTTCCTAACTCCCTACCTACACTCACCTTTCCTGGCTCCATCCCCGCCTCTTCGACCTGTTTGTTTCCTCTCCACCTATCCTCTCCTCTATCCCTCTTCTATCCGCCTCCCACTCTCTCCCTATTTATTTCAAAACCCCCTTCCCCTCCCCCTTTTCTGATGAAGGGTCTAGGCCCGAAACGTCAGCCTCTCTGCTCCTATGATGCTGCTTGGCCTGCTGTGTTCATCCAGCCCTGCACCTTGTTGTCTCGGATTCTCCAGCATCTGCAGTTCCTACTATCTCTGGCAGAATGCCCTATTTGCCAAAACTTTCCAACAAGTACCAAGTCATAGCTTGGCTGTTGGTGAGAAGGGCGCTACCTATCAGATCCTTCATGTACATCCACACTTATCTGCCATTGCACACTACCTTTGAAGCAGTTGTAGAGACAAGAGACTGTCACACATCTCTTTCTGGAATGTGCTTTTGCAAAGAAGGTCTGGAGAGGGATGCAGTGGTTTTTGTTGAAGATCATCCTGAATACCTTCATGGCTCAGGACTGGGTGCTCTATGGGCTGTTTCCCAGGATGCACACTGAGACCAACATCGACTGTGCCTGGGCAACCATTAACTTGAGAAGGATGCTCTTTGGTCTGCCTAGGTCATCCTGTGTAAAGAGTCGACTTCGACTGAGTGTTGGAGACTGGCACATTTCCAAGGTCCAAGACTATCTGCTGAGGAATGCACTGAAGCTTGGGGTAGCTGCCGCCAAAGTGCAGTGGGGAAAGATCACCATCTAAGGTCTTTCTGCCAAAGTATAATGAGGGTCCATTATGTCCTGAGACCCCCTCATTGCCTCAAAAGGAACAAATAGATTTCTTCACATGAGTAGAAAATGCCTTTGTTTTGCCACTGCAGGGAAGCTCTGAGGAATGTCAATTTTTTTTTAGTTCATTCACAATATGAGGGCATCACTGGCTAGGCAGCATTTATTGCCCATCCCAAATTGCCCAGGGGACAGTTAAGAGTCAACCATATTTCTGTGGGTCTGGAGCCACATGTGGGCTAGACCAGGTAAGGATGGCAGTTTCCTTCCCTAAAGGACATTAGTGAACTAAATGGGTTTTTCCCCAATGATTGACAATGGATTCATGGTCATCATTAGACTGTTAATTCCAGATATTTATTAAATGCAAATTCCACCATCTGCCATGGCAGGATTTGAACACAGGTCCCCAGAACATTATCTGGGTCTCTAAATTAACAGTCCAGCGATAATACCAATAGGCCATCGCCTCCCTGCCATTTAAGTATGTTGTTTTTTTTCCATCCATGAAGACTGTACAGAACTGTTTTAGGACCTTTTTTTATGTACTTACAGTTTTTTTTATGAATAAAGTGTATTTTTGCAGTTAAAAGAAACACATTCATGAGGCACAGCGACATAGTTTGCAGTCTCAGCATTTACCCCACTCTATCTGTACCATCAACCAGAGGATCAACCCTGGTTCAATGAAGAGTGAAAGAGCGCATGCCAGCAGCAGCACAGGCATGACAAATAATAAGGTGAAGTGCAACTCAAACAATACTCAAGAAGATTGACACTATCCAGGACAAAGTATCCTGCTTGATATGGTACCACATCCACAAACATCTGCTCTGTCGTCCACCGATGCTCAGTGAGAGTAGTGTGTAACATATACAAGATGCACTGCAGAATTTCACCAAAGTTCCTTAGACAGCACCTTTCAAACCCGGAGCCACTACCATCTAGAAGGACAAGGACAGCAGATATATGGGAACACTACCACTTTCAAGTTCCTCTCCAAGTCACCCATGATCCTACTTGGAAATATATCGCCATTCCTTCAGTTTTATTGGATTAAAATCCGCTGTAATGGTATTGTGGGTCCATCAACAGCAAATGGACTGCAGCTGTTCAAGAAGGCAGCTCACCAACACATTCTCGAGGGCAACTGGAAATTGACATTAAATGCTTTCCTAGCTAGCAATGCCCATGTCCTGTGAATGAATAAAAGAAAACTCAATGTACTTGAGCCATTCCCATTGGAGAATGCACATTTCATTGTAGAATGTTTTCAAATTTTTTATAAAAGGTGTTTTACTAGAATGGACTCATCAACAAGAACAGCATTAGGAGAATTTTCTTTGCATAGAGTGATTTTGGAGCGCAGCATCTTTTAGAGAAAAGGGCAGTGGGATGAATTTTAGATTGCACCAGCAAAGAGGTGACAAAGACAAGATGAACTTAATGTCCTTCTGTGCTGTAAACTAAATGCAATCATTTCTGTGAGAATGGTTCCCGACCTGTGATGTTTTGTTAAATGGCCAGACGGCTTTATAGAATTCTGATTATTACAGAGTTACTTTCTGGTTCTAATTTATACTATAACTGCACATTGTCTCTTACAGAGTTGTTTGAAAGTGAGTATATACGTCTTGGTCAAAGAGGTAAGAACCTGCTGGAAATGACTCAGAATCGCGCTGATTTCGTCCTTTGCTTGCCAATTTCTTAATGCTAATAGCCTTTCCAAGTGTGTGTTAGCCTTGTTCATATTCAAACTGATTACAGGGCCACTGGCAAAAGACTGGAGGCAGATAATTTTTGTTCACTAATTTATGTAATTTATCATGTCCTCTTGTGAGGAGAGAAATGAAGAGAAAGTAGTAAAATAATGCGCACAAGAGAAGATTAATGTTGGGGAGCGTCAAAGTTTGTTTTTCTATTCTTTAATGGGATCTTAGTATCACTGATAGGCCTAGCTTTTGTTGCCCATCTTTAATTAGCTTTGAAATAAGTGGCTTGGTGGGCCAATCCAGAGCGCAGTTAAGAGTCAATAACATTGCTGTAGATCTGGAGTCACATATAGATCAGGCTGGGTAATGATGGCAGATTTCCTTCTCTGGAGAATATTAGTGGACAGATGGGTTTTTACAATAATCAATGATAGTTTTGTGATCCTACTGCTGAGACTAGTACAAAGGAAGGTAGTTGCGGTTGTTGGGTGTTAGTCATTTCACCTCCAGACAATCTGTACAGGAGCTCCTCAAGGTAGTCTAATTTGCCACCATCTTCAGCTTCATCAATGACCTTTCCTGCATCATAAGGTCAGAAGTGGGGATGTTTGCTGATGCTGCACAATGTTCAACACAATGTTCCTGACACCTCATATACTGAAGCAGTCCATGCCCAAATGCAGCAGGACTTGTACAATAAACTGATTTGGGTTGATGAAGTGGCAACTGACATTTTTGCCAGGCAATGACTATCTCCAACAAAACAGAATCTAACAATTTCCCCTTGACATTCAATGATATCACCATCACTGAATCCCTCACCATCAACATTCTGGGAGTTACCATTGACTAGAAACTGAACAGGACTAGTGTTATAAGTACTGTAGTTCAACAGCAGGTCAGAGGCTCAGAATACTGCAGTGACTAACTCAACTCTTATCCCTAAAGTCTATCCACCATCTACATTGCACAAGTGAGGATTGTGATGGAATACTCCCACTTGCTTGGATGAGAGCTGCTTCAACAACAGCCAAGAGGCTTGACACAGTCCAGCATAAAACATCCTGCTTGAATGGCACCCCATCCACAAATGTTAACTCTGTCCACTACTGACACTCAGTAGCAGCCGTGTGTATGATCTACGAAATGCACAGCAGTAATTCACCAACGGTCCTTAGACAGCACCTTTCAAACCCGTGGCCATTACCATTAGAAGGATAAGGACAGCAGATATGTGGTAACACCACCACCTTCAAATTCTCCTTCAAGCCACTCACCATACAGACTTGGAAGTATATTGCCATTCCTTCAGTGTTGCTGGGTCAAAATTCTGGAATCCTCTTCCTAATGGCATTGTGGACGTACCCACACCAATTGAATTGCAGCAGTTCAAGAAAGCAGCTTGCCACCACCTTCTCGAGGGCAACTAAGGATGGGCTGTAAATGTTGGCCTAGCCAGTGACACTCACATCCTGTGAGTGAATAAAAAAATTCCAGAACGATTAATTGAGTTTAAATTTCACCAGTTGCCATGATAGGATTTGAATCCATGTCCCCAGCATATTAGCCTGGGCCTATGGATTACTTGTCCAGTGACATAACTACAACACCAGTTGCCCTTTTCTTAAAGCATTCAATACTTTCTTAAAACATTCAATATTACTTTCACTGAAGGACTTGTTTCAGGGATACTTTCTTGCCAGCATGGTATATGAAACTTGGAAAAGTTCCTTACTTCTGGTGTTTGAGGCCTTACACACATTTCCACAACACATTTTTATTTCATTCGTTGGTCTGGTTAATGTCAGCCAAATGTATTTGTATTCAGTAATTTGTTTGCTTCGAGTCCTTTCCTTCTGCTGCTACCTCTCGTGAAAACTATCTTTATTATCCATACTTTCCCATCAATGGCCCAGATTGTACTTTGTGGCCACCTATCTGTTGGTTGCTACCCGAGTTTCTGGGAAATGTTCAAAATATATGACACTCTACTTTTGCTACTTGCCTTGTTAACATTTATATGGCTGAATTTGTGGCTTAGTTGGTCGCATTTTTGGTTCCGATTCATAAGGTTCCAGGTTTAGGTCCCATCTCAAGACTTGAGCACAAGTAGCAATGAGTTTTTCAACGTTGGAGGTGCCATCTTCCTCCTTACAGAGAATACAGCCCAAAATAGGGTGTTCAGAGCCCTGGAGGGCTGCCTGACATTATGCTCCTCGCTCTATATGAGGGGAGAATCCCGGCCTTCATAGGACGACACTGGGACTGCTCCTTGGAGATGCAGAAATCTGCATGTCCTGCCAAACAAGTAAGTACTACTCTTCATTACACTGCACCTCTTAAATGAACCCAACTGTCAGTGTCATTAATTGTACACAACTGTTAACCACTGGCTGCAAAGCCTTCTCTCTCTTGTCTCTTGCTGGTACTGCCAGCATGTCAATTACCTTTGCGGTGAAATGGTCAACTCTGCTGGAAGCTACCTCTTTGATTTCTGAGGATGAGAGGCCTGAGTACTGTCCAGTTCTTGGTCAATATGTGATGTTCTAATATCATTGTGCCCTGCAGGCCTTCCTTCATAGGTCACATCTTTTACCCTAGCCACTTGAGTGTGGTTGCAGCCATTTTCTTCCCCATTGTGCACTTTCGATTTCCAACACCCAGCAATGCAAGTACTTCCAGAGCACACTGCCAGTGTGTCTAAGAGATGCCATAATGATCGTAGGGGATTGGCAAATGCTGGAAGTCAATGTTCAGGTGCATGAAGGCTGGTGCATAGTGCCCTGAGGTGCTGTTTGATTGTATGTAACATGGAAGTTGTTTGAGTAAGCACTAAGTTGAATTTGCCAAATGTCTGCTGTGATTTCAATGTTGAGTTTTCTTGATGTCTAACTTGACATTTAATGAGCAGTAATCCCCTTTAATTGGCAGCTTGTTGTTGCTTAGTGAGAAATTTGCCATGCTGTTTGTCAAAAGCATAAAAGATAGAAAGTTGTGCCCAGCATTGAGATTGGCCTTGCATGATTCTCGTCCAATTGTACCTTAAATCTTGCCATAGTCTATGCCACTTGTGTCTCTTTAAGAATCCACCATATAGTATTGCTTCTGATATCAATTTCAGCCTCACCAGATTCTCATCCAATTCTGCCACAAATCTTGCCATAGCCTACATTACTCAGATATAAGAGTCCACTTGATATAATTGTACGACTGGAACTCTCTTCCTGAAAAGGTGGTGGAAGCAGAGTCCTTAAATATTTTTAAGGCAGAAGTGGATAGATTCATGTTAAACAAAGAGCAAAAGTGTTATCAGGGATAAGTGGGAATGCAGATTTGAGGTTACAATCAGATCAAGCATGATCTTACTGAATGGTGGAGCAGGCTTGAAGGGCTGATTGGCCTACTCCTGCTATTGATTTATATGTTCGCATGTATGTCTTTCATTCGTTTGTTGATTTTAATGTCTTATTACTTATACGTGTTGAATTCAGAATACTTAATGTGAATCTGTCATGAAATAATGTTGATAATGCCCTTTTTAGTGCAGTGCCCTCAGAGTGTTACAAATATTAAGCCTTTTGTTATATATACAATATTTAACTTTTGGGAGACAGAGACAAGAAAAAACATTTTCCTCAAATTACATGCACTAAAATGCTGAAAGGCAGATGCAGCAGCACTAAACCTGTCCTTTGTAACTCCTTATGACTTCTGGACCATCCATTCATTACTATGTAATGTGGAATCAACTATTTTTTAAACTCAGGTGCCTCATTTCTGCATCTTGCATGTTTTGGATGGAGCAAGCTGACTGTGACACATTATATTATCATCTATATTTCTGATTGTTGGAATAATATTAAATATGACTATAGCCTATTATTTGTCTGTGTACATAACCTATGTCGTTAATTTTTGACAAAACCTAAGCCTGAATTTTCATCTGCAAGTTGGGTATGCCAAATCAGGAAAATTCCTGGTTCTGTGAACCCATGTTTAAAAATGTCTGCCCGAACATCAGATTTTCGGCAGGCTATATTAGAAGTCTGGACGGATGACCTTGGAGAGAATGAAGAGGATGCCAAATGCGGATTTGGGATGGGCAGAAGTCCCTCCTCAGGACTCTGTCACTGTGTATAAAATTTAAGAAGAAAGAACAAAACATAAAACACACTTCCTACCTTCAACCAGCACACACTCCCCTTACTCCATCTATGCTGAATCATGCCATCTCATGTATTCACTTACGGGACTTGGACGTCGCTGGCTGGCCAACATTCATTGCTCTGTAATCACCTCACCCCTTAACCTCTCATATCAACTCCAATAACCCATCACCTTCCATTTCAACCTATGCCCATGTTCCAGCTCTGTGGTCCTTTATGTCCTGAACCTCCACCCACCAATCATTGCACACACCTACCATGACAACTCACCTGTAATAGATAGACCTCAGGGCCAATGCAGAGATGAGAGAAAGTTAAGTTATATTAAATAAAGTCCTAAATGTCAATCGTGGGCTTCATCATATTGAAAAAAAAAAAGACATTTACATTACTTCAACTACAAAAAGCCTTATAACGGCAAACATTTAATTCATGTGCTTAATCCTTTATAACACAAATGTTGGAACTCATAGATCCATTTTACAGAGTCTACAATCACATGTATCTGTTAATCAGACTGTGAAATCACAGGCATCCTGCTGTTATAATAGTTGTGAATCAGACATTGAGCACTAATCCAGCAATAGAAACCCTCAAGATTACAAAAACAGAAAGACTGAACTAGTAAGCAATAATTGACTTGGCCCTTGAGAGTAGCTTTTGACAGGTTCTCTTAACAGTTTTGCTAAGTCTTGACATGTTTGATATATCTTCCTTACTGTTTCTTCTGACACTTTTGGCAGTTAATTTTGACTGTTCTGTTAATAGTTCCAATTATTTTGACAGTTAATGAGTTTGTGCACTTTTGTGCACATTCATGCTCGCTTTAAACAACTCTGAAGAGGACCTTATCTCCCAAAAGGAACTGTACCTACCTTACAGGTGTCTCAAGACCATATCCAAAACATTATCTTGACTATCCTAAGAAATGCACAAAGTTCAGACTTGTTCTTACCAGGTTAGTATGCATATTTTGGGTTTCACTCTTTTTGATTACAAAAGATTGACTTCAGTTGACAATTTAAATGGACAACTTGCTCTTGAAACTTGCATTTGAGATCCTGATGCACCTGCATTTCCACGCTACAAAAATGGAAGAGTCGTTTTCAGGAACAGGTCTTGCACTTTTCAGCCATTCCTGCCATTTTTGTCGGATACAGAGGCTCTCCACTGTCATGATGAAAATCGAGACTCTAATGTTGAAATGTTCTAAATCATATGACAAGGTATAAAACTTTCTTCTTCTTGGACAGTATCAAACCTGACAATGTGATGGTGAGGTCAACCTCCCACCAGGTCATATTTGCGGCCTCCTACAAAACGTTGCTTCCATGGAGGCCAGAGCTTTACACTTATACCAGAAGCATTCTATGTGTTGCAATTTCACTTTGAGGTTTTTCTATCAAATCATAGTCAAAGTCTCATTTCACATATCACTACTCTAGTTTCTCATTGCCCTTGCCTTAAACTACATCTTTTATCAACATGAATGCAAAATTAATTTGCTGAATTGTGTCTCTGGAGTGTGAATTTGACACTAGGAAATATGATACACATGTTTGAATGAGGCCATTATTTATAAGCTCCCAACAACTTTTAGGGTCAAATGAAGATACAACCATCATTGATGCAGTTCCTTCTGGTTGCTTTCAATGTTTTGAGAGATGTGAAAAATAAACAATCTGCTGTATGATGTAGGGCACATTAAAGCTACATCAGTTCTCACTGGTATGAAAATCGTGAGTAGAATAGAAATATTCTTCTGGGATTTGTTTCAAAAAATTATATGCAACTCTTAAACATTTTTTAAGTAGTTTACTTTCTTGAAACCAATTTGGAAATTATTACAAAAAACCTGTGTATATTACCTTCAAGAGTTGTATAAACGTGCAAGGAGCTGTCTAAACTAATAGAAAAATACAATATGAATGTTTACAGATGTAATTTGAAGGGTAATACACATGTAACGATTATTATGTATTTCATTCTAACTATAATGTGAGTATGGAATTGTACTTCAAGCAAATGTGGTCATAGTCAGCCATTGTCCAGTTCCTTCCTGTGGCTTTCCTTTGCTTTTCCTCCACTGGGAAATATTTTCACAGCCGAGGTGTAGCTTTTGGTGTTTATTTAGTCATATAAAACTAATCTTTTGTTTACCTCTAGTTTTGTCTGAACAAGACAGTGCTGCAGCTCAGCAGTACATTCGACAGGGTTGTCCTACAGGACTACGAGCAGATATGTGGGCACTCATTCTGAATATTGATAATCAACTGGAGGTAATGAACTTCTCATTATGCTACCTTTTATGAATCTGTGTAATCTAGTTTTTGCATTACCATTTGCACGACAAATTTCTATTCCAGTGTGAATTTGGCATTTGCATAACATTACTTGATTTCACTGCATTTTAAAATCAGGCCTTTAGACGTTCATCTCGGGATGGACTGGAAAATTTTGCTGTAGTGTTGACACTTTATAATATCCAAATTTAGATTGTTACAGCATTAAAACAGGGCTTTCATCCCATGAACAGGTATTTTGTACTACTTACACTAATTGCCCTTCACCTGGTAATTTGTTATGCTTTTCAAATTTTTTCAGACAACTAATTTCCTTTAGAATGAATTTAGAAAATTGTTTCAACAGTGGTTTGTGATAAAACATGCCATGTTCTAAACATACTGTTAATGTGTTTGTTTAGCCATCCCTTTTATTATTTCTGTGATCTATCTTAAATTTCATCTCTCTTGTTACTAGTCAGTGGAATCAACCTTTCACTATTTAATCAAAGCCTTTGTCAATCTTGAAGATCTGTCAGATTATTCCACAATTTCTGACAGTGAACAAAAAGTGTCACTCCAATACCTCTTCAAAACAATTTTTTTTTCCTTGGTAAAATCTTACTGTATTTACCCAATATCTTTTCTATTGGTTTTATATTCTTCGTTCAATGGAGTCCCCAAAACTGCATGCAGTATTTCAACTCAATGGCAAGTAGTACTTAGGTAGGTTCTAAGTGTCTACCAATATTTGGAGAGTCATCCCAAGGTCAGTACCCCAAGATTCTAGAAACAGTACAAAACAAAATCACTGGAATGCAAGCATAGTCCTGGGCTTTAGAATCAATGAGAAGAGAATCTGGGAGAAATTTAAAGAATTGTTTGAGTGCTTGGGCATCTTTGGCAGTTCTAGGATCAGAAAAAAAAACTGTCCAGCGATTTGAGAGCACCGGTAAAGGGGTTTTGGGAATGGAATGGAAATCACAATGGAGAGTTATTGTGCTGAAGTCATATAGAGATGAGAATAAGGGCTCAGTAACCTGTGGAAAAGGAAGGCTGGGGATAATAGGTTCTGAATTGTCATTTATTTATTTTGAAACCTCTTGTTCCATTACCATGATTAGCCCCCCATTGACTTATTCCTCCACCAAGACTTCCTTTTGCTTCTTTTACACTTGCAGATTATGACCCCTACTGCTTTCCTCATTGTCAACAGATTTCTGATTTTTTTAATGTATTTGCTTTAAAGCACTTCAGAATAAAAATACTGCTTCTCATAATGCATATGTTGATAATTAGAGAACGAGTGTGTGTCTTTATTTGACATATGCATTTCCCCTGCAAATATATAGGCATTGGCATTGAGTATATCAACTTTTATAGTTTTTAATGAAGGTACATTTCCATAAACAAACAAAAGCTATTTCAGAAAATGCGCAAACGTTTATCATTAACTCATATTTCACATTCTTTGGTTGGTATTTAGTATAATAATGGTAATTTCTCCCACCTGTTGAAGAACTTGTGGGAACCCCAGCACCACTTTTGACTGAGATGCCTGATGCCTGTATGAGAAAATCAGGCACTTAACTGGGCAACACAGGTCTCCTGTCCAATTTAAGCCCCAAATAGGGAAGAAATCTTGCCTTCAAGAGATGCTGGCCAATCAGAGGCCAGCAGTTCTACAATACAAGGACTGAGTTTGAGAGTTATAGTATTTACCCAGTATTTATCTCCAGTTCAAGAGTGATATGTCTACAGAGTCAGTTTGGGTTGAGGTCAGGAACAAGAAAGGAGCAGTCACTTTGTTCAGGGTTTTTTACAGACCCCCTAATAGTTGCAGAGAAGTGGAGGAGCGGATTGGGAGGCAGATACTGGAAAGGTGCAGAAGGCACAGGGTTGTAGTCATGGGTGACTTGAACTTTCCAAATATTGATTGGAAACTTTTTAGTTGTAATAGTTTAGATGGAGCGGATTTTTTCCAGTGCGTTCAGAAAGGATTCCTGACACAGTATGTAGACAGGCCAACACGAGGAGAGGCCACTTTGGATTTGGTGCTTGGCAATGAACCGGGCCAAGTGTTAGACCTGTTGGTAGGAGAGAATTTTAATGGTAGCAATCATAACTCTGTTACTTTTACAATAGTCATGGAAAAGGATAGATACATACAGCAGGATAAGGTTTATAATTGGGGGAAGGGTAACTACAATTCTGTTAGGCAAGAACTGGGTAACATAAAATGGGAACAGATGCTGTCAGGGAAGAGCACTATAGAAATGTGGAGATTGTTTAAGGAATGCATACTGCGTGTGCTCGATATGTTTGTCCCTAGCAGGCAGGGAAGATGCGGTCGAGTGAGGGAGCCTTGGTTCTCAAGAGAGGTCGAATGACTGGTTAAGAAGAAGAAGGATAGTTATATAAGATTTAGGAAACAAAGATCGGAAAAGGCTCTAAAGGGAAACAAGTTATTCAGGAACGAGCTGAATAAAGGGCTTAGGAGAGCTATAAGGGGGCATAAGGAAACCTTTGCAGATAGGATCGAGGAAAACTCCAAGGCTTTTTACACGTATGTGAGGAATAAGAAAATGACCAGAGAAAGGGTAGGGCCGATCAAGGATTGTAAAGGGAATTTGTGCATGGACCCTAAAGAGATAGGAGAGGTCCTTAATGAATACTTTTCTTCGGTAATCAAAACTGAGAGGGACCTAGTTGTAGAGGAGGACAGTGTGAAACAGGCTGGTAGGCTAGAGGAGGTGGAAGTTAGTAAGGAAGATGTACTAGGAATTTTGAGGAACTTGAAGATAGGTAAGTCCCCCGGGCCTGATGAGATTTATCCAAGGATTCTATGAGAAGCGAGGGAAGAGATCGCAGGGCCTTTGGCGATGATCTTTTCGTCCTCACTGTCCACGGGTATAGTGCTGGAAGGTTGGAGAGAGGCAAATGTCATTCCCTTGTTCAAAAAAAGAGAATAGGGATAACCCCAGAAATTACAGGCCAGTTAAACTTACAGGCCAGTTAGTCTTACTTCATTGGTGGGAAAATTATTGGAAAGGGCTGTGAGAGATAGGATTTATGATCACTTGGATAGGCACAGTTTGATTCATGATAGTCAGCATGGATTTGTGAGGGGTAGATCATGCCTCACAAACCTTACTGAATTCTTTGAAGAGGTGACCAAACACGTGGATGAAGGTAGAGCAGCAGATGTGGTATACATAGATTTAAGTAAGGCATTTGATAAGGTTCCCCATGGTGGCCTCATGCAGAAAGTAAAGAGGTTTGGGACAGGGAGAAATGTGGCAGATTGGATTCAGAATTGGCTGACCCTTAGAAGACAAAGGGTGGTAATGGACGGAAGATATTCAACATCGTGCTCAGTTATGAGTGGTGTACCACGAAGATCTGTGCTGGATCCTTTTCTATTTGTGATTTTTGTAAATGATTTGGATGTAGGAATGGAAGGATGCATTAGTAAGTTCGCGGACGATACGAAGGTGGGTTGAGTTGTGGATAGTGCGGAGGGCTGTTCAAGGTTACAAAGGGACATTGATAGGATGCAGAGCTGTGTTGAGAAGTGGCAGGTGGAGTTTAACCCTGAAAAGTGTGAGGTGATTCATTTTGGAAGGACAAACTTGAAAGCAGAATACAGGGTTAACGGAAAGATTCTTGGCAGTGTGGAGGAGCAGAGCGATCTTGAGGTTCATGTCCACAGTTCCCTAAAAGCTGCCACCCAGGTGGATCGAGTTGTTAAGAAGTATGATGTGTTAGCTTTCATTAATAGAGAGATTGAGTTCAAGAGCTGTGAAGTTATGCTCCAGCTATACAAAAGCCTAGTTCGGCCACATCTGGAGTATTGTGTCCAGTTCTGGTCACCTCATTACAGGAAAGAGATGGAAGCGTTGGAAAAGGTGCAGAGGAGATTTACCAGGACGTTGCCTGGAATGGAGGGAAGGTCTTACGAGGAAAGGTTGAGAGAGCTAGGGCTTTTCTCTTTATAACGATGAAGGATGAGACGTGACTTGATAGAAGTGTACAAAATGATCAGAGGTATAGATAGAGTGAACAGCCAGAGACTTTTTCCTCGGGTGGAGGTAGCTATTACGAGGGGGCATAGTTTTAAAGTGAGTGGAGGTAGATATAGGGGAGACATCAGAGATAGGTTCTTTACTCAGAGAGTGGTAGGGGCGTGGAACGCATTGCCGGAAAGGGTAGTGGAGTCGGCCTCATTAGGGGCATTTAAGTGGCTATTAGATAGGCATATGGATGATAGTATAAGGTAGGGGTGGAGGTTACATAGACCTTAGGTTTAGGGTAAAAGTTTGGCACAACATCGTGGGCCGAAGGGCCTGTACTGTGCTGTACTGTTCTATATTCTATGAATCTGGAGTAGTCACCATTCCCAGTTCCATGGTGGGACCTTCACCAAGGTTCGCCAGTGGGAAGAGTTGAGTGTGGGTCAGATGAGGCCAGAGGAAGGGGTTATTGGTGAGGTTATACTGCAGAGTTCCCTATTTCTGATGCCAAATCCCTGGATCAGGAACATGGTGTCCTTGTGTAAGGCATACCCCTCTTGGTAGGTTAGTAGTAAACCCAGCAGAGTTTTCTGGACAGCTTCCCTATGTGGCAAGCTCACCGTTTGCCACTGGTTGAAGTAGTGGGCTTGGTCCTTAGTGGTCCCAAAAGCGACAACTTAAGGCTCTCAATTTACCTCCCAGTGGGAAAACCGCCAGTTGTAAGCCTTTTGGAGGTCATAGAACTCCACTCTGCACAGTCACATAACTTCAACTCCCCAACCTCCAAACCTACACAGGGTACATTAAATTCCACTATTTATATTTGGAAATAAGTCTTTTGATCTTAAAAGAATGCATAACATTTTGGAGAAGTTGTTAAAAAGTACACAAAATTTGTATCAAGTTAATCTAAATACTTAATTTTTGAATGTCACTCAGAAATTTAGAATGTACTTAATCTTGTGTATGATAGTGTTCTGCCAAAATCTTTGGAACGGAATATGCAGATTATAAAAA